TTGTAATTTTAATTGATTTTAACTGTTTTGTAAACCGCCCAGAGTCGTTTCAATGAGGTGGGTGGTGACAAATGTGATATATAAATAAATAAAATAAAATAAAATAAAAAATAAATCTGAGCACATGCTGAACACATCCTAGGGCTGCATATGACCACCCACAAGCTTAGGATGGGGGTCTCCATAATTCTGCCAACAAAGTTGCCACCAAATCCTAATGACCACCCCATTCTTTAATGGACTTAAGGAGGATAACATTGACTTTAGTCATAGTAAATACAATTAAATAATTTTAGTGGTTTTTTTTTTAAAAAAATTCCTGGCCTATCCACATGGTTATCCTGGCTCTGCCTACATTTTGGAGGGCAGCCCCAGCTCACCAAAGAACAAGTGTGAACCTTGGCCTGAAGAAAAGAAATATTCACACACCTGAGCTAAATGAATATGCATCATAGCTGGGGTGCAGCAATGCTGCAAAATTGTTCAGTAAACCATTGAATACATAATGATAGATGAGGACAATGGGAGAAGGTTGTGCTTGCAGATTTTCTGGAGGCATCTCATGGACCACAGCAGGAAGAGCCATTGGTTTATTAAAACCAGGTCTTTCTTAGGACAGAAAAGCACTTCTTGATATGTTGTGGAATGCCACATAAAAAAAAACCCATCTTGATTTGTTTGACTACACCCTGAAGACACTCCTGTACAGAAGGTAAACAGTGGTGCGGTTCCAGGGTGAACTGCTTAGAAGCAGCATTGTTTCAAAGGATCAATTTTCTCAAATCTCCCATAGAATGAAGCATCCCTTTCAAGTTCTACATAAGTTCTACTATAATCAATGCTCCAAAATGCTTTTTTTTTTTTAAAAAAAAGGTAACTCTTTTATAATGCAAGAGAACGCCCTTAAGTGTTGCAAGAATTTGTACTACTCTTCCAAAATCTGACATTGTTCTGTTGCCACATGTTAATGCCTATGGATATTGACCACTACATTCCATTTCAAGGCAGGTGTTCTACCATCCAACCCTCTAAGCCAGGGTTCCTCAACCGTGGCAACTTTAAGACGGGTGGACCAACTCCCAGACTGAGGAATTCTGGAAGCTGAAGTCCACCCATCTTAAAGTTGCCAAGGTTGAGGAACCCTGCTTTAAGCAATGTGACTGTGCTGCAGTCATGTCCTACACCTGTGTACCTTCATCTTGAATGCAACCGGTGGGACAAAAATATCCCACTATAATAGGGCAGATTTGAGGGAGATCTTGGAATAAAACACCACACAAGCTACCCACACTTCACCTGATTTCATGTCAAAAGAATGTGAAACTTTTCAGCAAGAAAATGGAAACCAGTCCCCATAGGCTCAAGGCAGATCCTTGATCTTTTCGAAAAAGCTGTTTTGAATTTTGAGGTTGTAATGGACTCTCTTTTCTTCTCCCTCCTCCCTCCCTCTCTCTCTCCCTCTTTCTCTCTCACACACAGAACTAGCAGTCAGAGCCTAATATTTCTTTGGGTTTTGTTGTGAATGGCTCACATAGCATGTCATACAAAAAAAAAAGAAAAGAAAGAAAGAAAGAGAGAGAGAGAGAGAGAGAGAGAGAGAGAGAGAGA